GGGAGCAAGATAAGAATGCTTCCCTCTTCTGCCTGACCTTGTGTTAGAGTCTAGCCAGTGCAGGGAGTGGATAGATAACAGGTGAAAGGCATGGATAGGAGAGAAAAAAGGTCTGATACGATTGTGTGACCGGAACAAACAGGCAAGCAAAGAAAATCCCAGAAAAGTATTGGAATTAAAAGTAAAATGGTGGTGACAGACCAGGACGTTTGCTCCCAGGTTTGAGAAGCAGGGATGCCAGTCCCGTCCTGCTTGCTGGTTCTGGCCAGTGTTGTAAGGCAAGGAAGAACCAGTGAGCACTGTGAAGAAACAGAACAGTTCCTCTTCACAAGTGACATGATTGTCTACATAGAACTTTCTGAGGAATGTAGCGAGCAAATTACAAAAACTAGTGAGTTCAAAAATTACAGGGTATAAGGTTAATATTGCAAAAAAGTCAGTTGTATTTCTGTATATTAGCAATGAGCAGTTATAGTTCCAAAATATAAAAATATTGCTGTTTTTAAAAAATGCTTGGGAGTAAATCTGAATAACAAAATAGATGCAGAATATGAAGAGAATTACAACACACTGATAAGACCTACCAATGAAATATAATTAGTATGTGTCTGTTAAATATTCATGAAAGGGGAGACTTAATATTGCCTTAATGTGTGTTATTTCAAATTTGGTCTATATATTTAATACAGCACCAATCAAAATTCCAGTAGGACTTTTGTAGATATCAACAAGCTGTACTGTAATTTATATGAAAAGGCGAAAAGTAATAAAAGTAATTCTAGGATAAAAATGGACAGCAAGGCTGGGTAAGGACTCACACATTTTAGATTTTACGGTATTAGAGTCACAGAACAGGATAGAGAGCCCACGTTTAGATCCACAACAATGTGCTCGACTGGGTTTTGGAATGATTGTGAGATGCCCATGTTTGCATGTGTGCTGTAGGTCGGTAGTGTACACATTCGTATTGTTGTGTGTCCAGTGTTCAGGACTTCAGCGTTCTCACCAAACGGCTCCCTCCCTCACTCGAGGTTTGCTCAGCAACCCCGTTCTATCTTTGTCCCTGCATGTTTGACTGCTTCAGTTACCTCATCTAAGAGGAATCCTGTGATATATGTCCTTTTGTTATGGCTTATTTCACTTAGCATAATGATTCCGTGGTTCGTTCATGTTATAGCCTGCGTCAGAATTTTCTTTTTAATGTTTAATTTTATGTTTATGCCACATTTGTTTACCCTTTCACCATCAGAGAGTTGTGGATACTACCATCATGAAGATAGGTGTACAAATATGTCTTTGAGATCCTGCTGAAGTTTTGGATATATACCCAAGAGGTTTCTGTGTGTGTTTTCACTTTGTGAGGCTTCCCTACTGTTAACCACAGCAGTTTCATCATTTTATAGTCTAACCAGCAGTGCACATGAATTCTGATTATTGCATATCTTCCCCAATGCTTGTTACTTTGTTTTTGCTTATACTAGTGGCCATCCTAATGGATATGAGATATTAATTGATTTTTTAAAAAGATTTGTTTATTTATTGGAAAGTCATATATACAGAGAGGAGTAGAGACAGAGAGGAATATCTTCCATCCGATGATTCATTCCCCAAGTGAGCGCAATGGACAATTCTATGCCAATCTGAAGCCAGGATCCAGGAACTTCTTCCAGGTCTCCCATACAGGTGCAGGGTCCCAAAGCTTTGGGCCGTCCTCGACTGCTTTCCCAGGCCACAAGCAGGGAGCTGGATGGAAGTGGATTTGCGGGATTAGAACCGGCGCACATATGGGATCCCAGGGTGTTCAAGGTGAGAACTTTAGCTGCTAGGCCATGCCGCCGGGCCCAATATTAATTGATTTTTATCTAAGGTGCAAAAGCAGTTCATTGGAGAATAGTCTTTTGGACATTTGGAGAATAGTCTTTTGAGACTGTTAGATAACCGTATGTAAAAAAGTCTCAACTTTTATACATTACACAAAAATTAACAAAATGGATTATTGTGGGACAGGCATTTTGTCTAGTAAATAAGGCACCAGTTAAACCCACCCTATATCAAAAAGCCTTTGATTGTTTCCAGCTCCTGACTCCAGCTTCTTGCTGTAACTGATCTTGAGACAGCTAAGCTAATTGGCTCCTTACCACCCACGCTGGAGACCTAGGTTGAGTTCCTGGCCCCTTGCGCTAGCGGGGCCAAACCTTAACCATTGCCAGTATTTAGGAAGTGAGCTGATGAGAGCTCTCTGTCTCTTTTTACCTCTTAAATTTTAAGAATAAAATTTAAATTTTAAGAATAAAATTTGACCTAAAGATAATACATAAAATTGTAATTTTTTAGAAAAAATAAAAAAGAGTTGAAACTCTTTGTGACTTGCATTAGGTAGAGAATTTTAAAATATGTCCACTGAGAGCATGGTTCAGAAGAGAAAAACTTGGGCCCAACATGGTGGTCTGGTGGCTGGAGTCCTTTCTTTGTACGCACTGCAGTCCCATATGGGCTGTTCCTGTCCCGGCAGCTCCACTTCCCTTCTGGTTCCTGCCTGTGGCCTGGGTAAGCAGTCAAGGACAGCCAAAGCCTGGGGACCCTGCATCTGTGTGGAGACCTGGAGAAGGGTCCAGGCTTCAGATTGACTCAGTTCTGGCCATTGCAGCCACTTGGGGAGTAAAACAGCAGATGGAAATCTTTGTCTCCTCTCTCTATGCATCTGACTACAATTTAAAAAAAAATCTATAAGAAAAAAACAAAGAGAAACTCGGTACATTGGGCTTATAAAAATTAAGAATTTTTGCTCTAAGGTAAAGTTATGAGAGTGGAAAGATAAGCTGCAGGCTGGGAGGAAACATCTCTAAGTTACATATGTAGCAAAGGACTTGAATCCAAAATATGTAAAGTACTCATAAAACTCAATAATATGTGAATAGGAAGAATTAAGAGCCGAAGATATCAAAAAACTTAATTACAAGGCCCAGCGCGAAAGCATAATGGTTAAGATCCTCATCTTGCACATGCCAGGATCCCGTATGGGCGTTGGTTTTAATCCCAGCAGCTCCACTTCCCATCCGGTTCCCTGCTTGTGGCCTGGGAAAGCAGTCAAGGACGGCCCAAAGCCTTGGGACCCTGCACCCATGTGGGAGACCTGGAAAGAAGTTCCTGGCTCCTGGCTTCAGATCAGCGCAGCACCGGCCGTTGCAGGCATTTGGGGAGTGAATCATTGGATGGAAGATCTTTCTCTCGGTCATCCTCTTTGTACATCTGCCTTTCCAATAAAATAAATCTTAAAAAAAAAAAAAAGAAACTTCATTACAATTGATATACTGAGATCAGAGAATACAGGAAACTGCTCCTTAGTTATTAGGGAAATGTAAGTTGAAATCACAGTGAGATAACAGCAATATCTTTAAATGGCAGAAGAAAAAAAAACCTTGATAATTCATATTAGAATTAGAATAGAACACCTGTACGTGGCTGGTGGGAGTGGAAAATGATAGGGCCTCTTTGGATAACAGTTTGCCAATTTCTTATAAAGCTAAATCTACCCTTATAAATGTTCTTCAACTGGTGAATGAACACAAAACTGTGGTGTATCCCTATGGTGTAATATGACAATAAAAAGGAACAAATTGCTGGTTCCTGCAGCAATATGGATGAATCATAAAGTCATTATGTTGAATGAAAGAAGCCACTCAGTAGGTTATGCACTGTATGATTCCATTTAAGTCATCCTCTAGAAAGGCGAAACTGTAGGACTGGAGGACAGATCAGTGACTGCTGGGGTTTGTACCTAGGGAGAAGCTGTTGATTACAAGGAGCAGCATGAGGGGACTTTTTTTTTTAAAATTTATTTTCATTGGAAAATCAGACATACAGAGAGGAGGAGAGACAGAGAGGAAGATCTTCTGACCGATGATTCACTCCCCAAGCGGCTGCAACGGCTGGAGCTGAGCTGATCCGAAGCTAGGAGCTTCTTCCGGGTCTCCCACATGGGTGCAAGGTCCCAAGGCTTTGGGCCATCCTTGACTGCTTTCCCAGGCCACAAGCTGGGAACTGGATGGGAAGTGGAGCTTGCTGGAATTAGAACCAGCACCTGGAGCGTTCAAGGTGAGAACTTTAGCTGCTAGGCCACTGAGCCGGGCTCATGAGGGTATTTTATTGGAGTGATTGAGCTATTTGTATTTTGATTGTGGTGATAGTTACAGTATGCTATCCATTTGACCAAAACCTACAGAACTTTACAGCAAAGGTAAGCATTTTACTTTGTATGAACTAAAAATAATAAAAGTAAATTCAGCAACTGGTATTCGATACCAGGTCAGTATTACAAAATGTGTATTTTTGTATAATATTAATAATCAGAAAAAGAAATTTTTAGAAAAATGGTCTTCATAACAGCATCAAAAATATCAAAACCTAGGGATATTTAAAACTTTTATTCATTTTTATCTTATTTGAGAGGCAGAAAACAAAAGGAGAGCATGAATGACATCTTTCGTCCCTCCCCAGATGCCTCCAGCCTCTGGGACTGGACCAAGTCCACGAGCCTGAGCTCAGTCCACGGCCTGTGGGTGGAGGGGCCCCACCCCACGCCCCATTGCCGCCAGGTCACTCTCCTGCGTGTTGGTGGGAAGCTGGATTCAGAACTTAAGTGCAGGCCCTTGATGTAGGATTCAGCTGCTGCGCCCAAATGCCCACCTGCCTCGGAGTGTGTCTAATGAAAGATACCAAACCCTTTACGTTCTAGAATTTGATTCTAAAATTTATATGGCAATGCAAATCGCAAGAAAAACAATTCACAGCACTTGGTTTTCACTATAAAATAAATAAATAGATGAATGGAATAGACTCTTAAATACTGATACGAGTGTGAAAATACCTGGTTTATGATTAAAATGTCATGGCACCTCAGACAGGATTGTCAGTGCTTCTGGGTCAATTGCCTATCCATAAAAACAAAACAGACAATTTTGACCTTTATCTTACATTGTATACAAAAGGAAATTATCGGTCAGTTGTAAATCTATTTGTGAAGGTTTAAAAAAAATCTTTTAAATATGCTTGACCGCATTAGTCTTAAAAATGTTGCCTAAAACCCAGTGAATTACCATTAAGAAATGACCAGTAAAGCCAAAACAGAAAACAAGTGTAAGTACCAAGTATCAGCCAGGAAGTAGAACAAATAGAATTCCCATGCAATGCTGATGGATTATAAACTGGTGCAACTACTTTGGTAGCTTTTTTTTTTTTTTTTGCTTGGTTGTATGTGTTTTATTTTAATAAACTGCTTTACATGTCCATCATGCCTCTGACCCAACAAATACCTTCCAAGAAGTGTGTACTTAAGTCCATCAAAATAAATACAAGAGCACAAGAATGTTCATTATGTTCACGATAACTCCAAGCTAAAAGTGACAAACGATCATCAGTTTAGGAATGGATAGTGGGGTTGTTGGGTATTCAGTGGCTACTCCATAGTTGTAAGAATGAAGAAGCTCTTCCTGCTTAAAACAACATGGGTAGAAAAGTAAGCGCAGGATTTCACATAAAATTCAAAAATAGGCAGAAGGAATCTGTAACAAGGGAAGACAGAGTTGTGAATGGTGGAAGGTTGGTGTGCAGGTTTTCATGCCCACATTTTCAAAGCTTTATATTTTTTTCTGCTTATGCTTTGTGCAAGATGCTTGAGAAATTACATGAGTGTGATGTTGTCAGCTAGTTGTGTTAGAAGGCCTGTGTGCCTCCATTTATTCTGTGTGTGTGTGTTGGAGTAGAGGGGAGGGGACCATCTTTCTCTCCTGCCTCACCTGCTGCTAAGTCCGTATGCCTCATGAAGAGGAATCTGTGCTAAGCAACTGCTGGCAGAAAGCAGCCAGTCTTCAGGGACCAGCAGAGAGAAAGTGGCCTCCAGAATTAGTACAAATTTGTTGGCTGATGATGTCCCGACTCCTGCACGCTTCGCTTGGCCAGAGTCTGTGTGCACAGACTGTGCAGTCCCCGAAGCTTCCGGGGGGAGGGTGGTCAGTGCTGGTGGGATCTGTCACCTCCTCCTCAGGGACTTGGCGTCCTCGTACTGAATGTTCTCCCCCTCTGGCCTTGGTGCATCATTCTGGAAGCCTTGCAGATTCCTGGGTACGGATTTTATTTACCTTATTTTGTCTCAACTTGTGTTCTCCAGAGACACGTGAGCAAAAGGCCCTGCTCTGTATAGATTCCCCAAAACTCTTGTTTCAGTGAAAGAATCACAGGTTAGATCTACTGTACAGGTGATAGCTGAATGAGCGTTTTTCAGTCCAGTGCTTCCTCTGTTGTCAGTAAGCGACACTATGGATAAAAAGTCCTGACTCTGGTTAAGTATTATTTTTATTTTTTTAGGGAGCTATTATCCAATTGCTAAGATAGGTGTGTGTGCTTTATTTAACGTAGTTTTACAGGATTTGATCAAAGGGAGGAATTCTAAGGATTATATGCCCTTGTGTTGCTGATTTGTCCTTAGTAATGGGAGATTCCTAGATAGAGGTAGTTATTTATACACAGGTGAACCCTGAGCTCTTTGGTGTCTCATTCCAATCTTTATACATTTATGTCTAAAAAATGGTAAAGAAAGATTTATAACCATGTTGTTTAAACCATAAACTGTTTCATTAGCTCCCAGTGGGATTTGACGTCATTGTGGTATGTTGTTGGGTATCATATGTGAATTGTTGTGCTCATTTGTTTTTATAGGATTTGCTTTATGTGACAGGCAGAGTGACACAGCAATAGAAACGGTGGCAGAGATCTGGGTCATTCCCCAAATGGCCACAGTGAATTCATGGGCTCTGAACTCCATCCGTGTCTCCCACGTGGGTGTCAGAAACTCAGTCATTTGACCATCTTCCAGTGCTTTCGTATGCACGTTAGAGAACCGGATTGAAAATGGAACAGTCAGGACTGAACTATGCTGTTGCCATAGGCGATGGCTTAACGTGCTGTGCCACAGTGCTGGTTCCTTGTTTATTATCATTGATATTGTATAGACTGTGATATTGATGAACTTGATCTGTTACCTAGAAATATACTTGAGGGCAGACATTGGATGTAGCACTATTCAGACACCATTGGATGCACCTGTGTCTCATTGGAGTACCAGGATTTGATACCTGGCTGTTGCCTGACTCATTTCCTGTTAGTGCAGAATCTGTGAGGTAGTTATTGCATTGTGCCATCCATGTGGGAGATCTTGATGGCACTTCTAGTTCCTAGCTTTGACTTGGGTGAGTCCTGTTAGCACTGTTGAGAACCAGTGCATATACTCTTTGTGGCTCTCAAAAACAAACAAAAACAAAACACACACAAAAAACCAGGTATGCAGATCTCCAGACTTGAAGCATGTATTGTAGAATATACACTTAAGTATGTCAAATGAATCACAGTGTGTGTCATTGCTTTCTCCTAGACACTTCGTCTTGCGAGTGGCCTGTCGGTGTGCGAGCGAGCCTTGCTTGGAGGAAGGCAAAGGATCCACCTCCACCTGTCGGGGGAAGAACAGTGCTGCTGGTTTCTGCTCTCTGACTCTGGCTCACTGCTCCGCGTTCTCCTGGGATGTTCAGCAGCTCTCCAGGTAATTTTCAGCTGCAATCAGGGTTCAGAAATGCTGTCTGAGTCTTAGCCAAAGTTGTCTGCCATTAATCTTGTGCTGTGCTATTCTGTTTTTAATGAATACTACACTTTACAAAATACAGTTCTTTTCTGTACTTTGATTATCTTACTGTAAATAAGTTTTTACTTCCAGGGTTCTTCATTCTTCATCAGTGTTGTACTGGGGCTGTGCCTCACCACCTCCTGGCTCTCTATTTTTCACCTGGCATTTCACCTGTAACATCTTGGCAGATTAGTATTGTGGTGAGGTCATTTCTTTTCAGAGTCACATACATCAAGTGTTTAAAAAAACTGCATCATTTCTCATCTTGTGAAATCTTTTGAATCTGTTTTCTAAGTATTTTATGTATTGAAATTTGCGAACTGTGCTGAGCCCTCTCCAGTTGTGGAAGTTATACTGTTCTCTAGAAACTGCACTAGTGAATTGTGTAACTTTATCAAATATTGAACATTTTGTAAAAGGGCCATTATTAACCTACCAGAAGGCATGCACTGGACTAAATGGAAGTCATCCTCCAGGAGACACTCGTTGTCCTGGCTGGCTACCCATTCCTTCTCCTGCCATTAGTTTCAATTCAACTGCAGCTTTTGCTTACAGCTTACAGATGAAACTGATTGCAAGTCAGTAGAGTCTCTTACTTTACTTTATAGAGTCTCTTACTTCTTCCCTCTGCCATCAGACTTTCAGGTTCCCACTCTGGGCTGAATCTGTCATTAGGAAATTAAACCCTATGGGCTATCGCTAGTAAAATCTCCTTCCTACCATTTTTTTTTCCCAGATTTGAATCGATTCACGCCACAGGGCCCCTCTAAATGAAACTCTGATACAGTAATGTTTTGCTGTTTCCATGAAATTTACGGTGACTTAGCTGCCCTCAGACTTATAGGAGACTAGCAGGCCTCTTCTCTTCACCAACCTGTCTTGTTACTGACTGTTATAATCCGTGCTGTACTCTGCAAAATCATTGTGCAACTTTTTGCCTTCTGCCTTTGTCCATGTTTTCCTCTGGAGTTCTTTTCCTGTCTTCTCTGGCAGTTCATGTCCCTGCTACGTCCTTAAAAAGCCCGCTGGACTTCATGCGTTTCAAGGAACTCTCCTCTGACTTCGTGTATGCCCCACTAGTATGTTATCTGTTTATATTTATTCATAATGTCATTTTTAGCTGTTGACCGAACTAATATCAGAAGCTTGCCATCCATTCTATTCTTTCTTATATTAGTTTAGAAACCTAACAGTTTAAACAGTAAAGGACGTTGGTAGTTTTCTAAGTGAAGTTGAGAGTTGGGCAGTAAGTTGTTTGCTGCAGCATGTAGCATACCTTATCGTGAAGGGCATCACATCTAGAATTTATAGAGGCAAAGTATACTGCTCTGCAAAGATGATGGAAGGACCTTTGTAAAAACAGGGGGGAAAAAAAGCAAAACACAAGAATAGCAAATTGAAATACTCCCTCTCAAACTTTCATTGTGGAACAGATGTTTTGTGGGAGATACTTGTTTACTTTTTGGTGGAGGGACTCGGTATTTATTTTGTGCTATGGGATATCATCCATTCCTGTTTATTTTGCAATTCAGTTTGTGTGGGAAGTACTTTCCGAAAATTAAGTTATCAAGAGCTAAGGGACTTATAATTATTTCACATTTTCCTCTTTGGCTTTTCATATTTCTCTTCGAAGTTCCTCTGGATCAGGTTTGCGTTTAACTGAGAGTACGACCCCTCTTGGCTAAGGCCAATGGGGCAATCGAGTGGGCAGAGCAGGTTCCCTCTGTCTCAGGGGTCAGTGCTAATTCCCAGGGCAGACCTTGGAGGAAGCCAGCCTTACCCACCTGTAAACAAGTTATGGTTGCCTCCAGAGTCATTCAGATCTTGTGCACTTTTTTTTAAAGATTTATTAATTTTATTACAAAGTCAGATATATAGAGAGGAGAAAAGACAGAGAGGAAGATCTTCTGTCCAATGATTCACTCCCCAAGTGAGTGCAATGGCTGGTGCTGCGCCGATCTGGAGCCAGGAGCCAGAAGCCAGGAACTTCCTCCAGGTCTCCCACACAGGTGCAGGATCCCAAAGCATTGGACCATCCTCAACTGCTTTCCCAGGGCACAGGCAGGGAGCTGGATGGGAGTGGGGCTGCTGGGATTAGAATCAGTGCCCGTATGGGATCCCAGTGCACTCAAGGAGAGGACTTTAGCTACTAGGCCATGGCGCCGGGCCCTTGTACACTTTCTATATAATTGTATTTAAAATTCATGAGAATTTGGGTCTCTGTGGTCTCCTTAGAGGTCTCAGTGTCAGTTCCTAAATCATTAGAGTTTAAAGGCTAATGTAAATGTGGGATACTGAATTCATATTCTTCACTTGAAATAACCAACAAAATACAAAATACCAAGTAGGAAAAATGCTACTATGTCCTTCAACATAACCTTTTATTTTAGCACAATGAAAGGTCCTAAATTCTGAGAAAATACCTGAATCTTTGAAGGCAGTCTGGGACACATAGTATTCTGTATACTGGCAAGACATTGAGGTCCTGAAAATCAGAAGAATTCATTCTGGATGAGGGATTGATTTTAGAAAGGAGCAGTAGTTTTGGTCATAATTGGAGAAAGGTGGCCATCAAGAGGCGGGGGAGAGGGAGTCTGTAGGGAGATGGCCTGTAAGAACACGAGAAAGACACAGAAACTGCAGGTGGATGATGTGACGGACCTGAGTCACCGGGAAAAGAGGGAGGTAGCAAGTGGAACTAGTAACTAGGGGATGATCCCAGAGGACATCGGACCCCTGTCCCTGGCTCTCTTCCAACGCCTTGTGATGCTGTGGTTGGCGCAGATCCTGGTCAAATTACTCTGTGGCTCTTCACCTGGTGGTACAGTATCCTGCCTTTACTAACTCACACGCAGAAGGAGAGGTGTGAGAATAGGTGGAGTGGCTTAAATCAGCACAGCCTAGGACCCGGAGTGAATGGGTAGGGATGCTGTGGCTGCTCCTCTGGCCTGCTATCTGGTCTCCTTACTGAGCAGGGGCTTTCACATACAAGGAGGCAGGCAGGGAAACGGGAGGCAATGTTCAGGAAAGTCCTCCAAGTCCCCATCACAGAAAGAAGTAATTGGGAGCAGTTGCCTTGCAGTTGGTGGAGCCATGGCCCTGGAGTCGCTTGCTTTGGTCTGTGTCTTGTAGAGTATAATGGCTCTGTAACATGACTGCTTACTGACCAGCACACCCCTGGTTCTTCATGAAAACCTACCATACACGGACTGTAGTGTGTATTAGTGAAATAATCCTTAGATGTGAGTGATCACTGAATTCCTCAGTTGACAAGTAGTGAAAACACAGGATAGGGAATTTCAGCTTACCCAAGTATGTGCACTTTTAGCATTTCAGTGGAGTAGCTGAATTAGAAACGAGATCTTCTGAGTTTTATTTTGTTTTAAACATTGCACCAATAAAACCTGACTTGTTGCTGAGTTCTTTGAATTCACTTTTTGGCCTCCAATGGCAACGAAACTGAGTGAGCCTGGGTTTCAGCTGTTAGTGCAGTGAGTGCAGGAAGCCCGTGGTGAGGCTTTCGCGACTGCAGAATTTGCAGCTCCTGCATTTAGTGTTAGCTGAGCAAGGGCCCTGCAGCCACCCCTGGGCCTGGCTGTGGCCCATTTTTGAGGCCTCCAGAGTTATTTTCAGCCTCGAGGGCCTTGGAAGCAGGTGTGGTCTGGGCTTGAAGGCCACGCCTGGAATGTGTTCGCCCAGAGTAGTGAGGAAGCCTCCTGTGTACTTTGTTAGAGGAATTTACACTTTTCCAGAAAGAAATAAAATGTTGCATTTGTGATGCTTTATGTAAGTTTATTTTGGAAACTTAAATTGGAATACATTTTAAGAATATTAGGAAATTAAGGTGAATTTTTAAAAGATCTGTAAAATCTTCATATGTGGAGAAATCTTTAGTATTTAGAGTCATATTCCAGCTAACCTGTTTAAAGACCCCGTATGATTTAAATTTTCTCACATTCTCTATCCATCCCCCCCAACATTGTTATTTAAATAAGTTCTTTTGAAGCCCTTTTATGAAGGCCAGCTCAGCTTCTACCTTCAGGGCAAACGTCTGTGTCCATATATTGTATTTGTTCGTCTTTCCCTGTCCACACCCAAACTCCTCTTAACAGTGCTGATAAGGAGCCCAGCAGGGCCTGGTACTCGGACCCAGCCTGTGTGTGTCATGCCCTTTTCCCATAGCTCTCACACTCCAAGGTTATGGGAAGGAAAAATCGTGTAAGTTACACAGTATGACATTTCATTGATAGCCATCTGTGTGTTTGCATGTGTGTGCTTATTTGAGGTTCTATTTTACCTAGCTGCTGTGACATGGTTTTAATCTCCTCTGACTGTCCTTGGTTGCGGAGAAGTGTGCGTTAGTGCCATTGTTCTTACATGTTTCATCTAGTACTGTTTCAAGATTGGTTATGTTACTTAGCTAATGTCCTTCTTCCTTATGTAGACTTTTCCCAGGGTTTTTCATATGTGTCTTAACTGAAAGGTGAAACAATTTCTTGTAAGGCATTTGGAAATTATCCTCTGGAGAGTATAGTGTGGCATTCTAGTTTAGTCTGAAGTGATTCAGAAATGTATAAAATTCTGCTATAAGCTTGAGCCTGAGAGTTTGTAGCCGGGATGCTCATTGTCAGTAATTTCTAATTGTATTCCTTTGCTTGCTGCTCCAGCTCTCTGGTCCACTGTGGAAAAACTGTCAGAGCCGCTGTCTCTTTAGACTGTTCCCAATTGTCCAAATGCGTAAATTTATTACCATCTTGATTTTCATGGTTTTTTTTCATTGAATGCATTTATCATATCCCAAAACTCAGAATATTTATTAGATTATGTTACCTCACAGTATGTGAGGTCAAGTTGCTGTAAATCACAAATTGCCCGGTTCTTAATACCTTTAGTTACTTAGCTTTATGTCCGCAGCTATT